TCAAATTATTATTATTATTATTGTTGTTGTTGGTAATATAATTATCATTATTATTATTTATTAGTAATAATATATGATCATCTTTAGATGAGGCATGTCATTTATAAAAAAAAAATATATATGTTAAAGCATAAAATAAAATAATAAAAAATAATTTTTTATTATTAAAAGACGTTGTACATGTTGAGGTGCTTTTTATGTGTATATAATATGTGTCAATAGTTTTTTAAATAAAAAATATTAATTAAATATCAAATTACTTCATTGTACTTTACCCTAATTAAAAAAAAAATTGAGGAAGAGACGCCCATGCCTTTATTTTTATAGTCTATTTTTTTTATCCTAAGAATAATTATGTAATTGTATTGTATAATTAAAAAGTAAAAATATCAAAATATCCTTGTCCAACAATGTAAGTGTTTTTTTATTCTAGAGGTAATTTATTTATTTTATTGTACATTAAACGATGAATTAACAAAAACACCTCCAGATAAATTAGTGATGACAAATAAATAATGTAAAATAACCAAAACGCCTCTAAACCTAAAGCAATCAATTGTTCTTTTCAAGGCTATAAACGTAATTCCATTATTATAGTGAATAGTAAAGCATGTCTATGGCTACAAGAAATCTCTAATGCCTTTTAATATATTTTTAATATATTTGTCAATAATTACTAGATTTCAATGAAATTTGAGTAGCGTATGTTGTTTTTGGCAACAAATTCTTCGGCTGAACGCTTATTATTTTTGAAAGCTTTCCATCTTTAGATGTACCCCTTGATGAGATTTGTCTTTTTTCTTTGTTTTTATTTTTTTTATTTTTTTATTGATTGTTATTGTTGATATCAATCCATTTTTGAAATGATGTTATTGATTTAGTTTGAGATTTGAATTTATACGGGTAATTTTTTCCAATACAACATTATGAGAAAAGGTTGCAGTAGACAAAAAAATATTATAGTATTGAGAAAGTAATTAGTGATATTTTATTAATTAATTTTAAAAAAATAAATATATATTATTTTTAATAGGATATCATGATTTATTTTCCGATAGCATATTGACAGTCTAGCCTTTGAGATTAAATTTTGTTTTGCATTTAAATCCCTAGATGTCAAATAGGAGTTTTAACCAATTAAGCTTTAAGACAAAAAAAAAAAAAAATGCCCTCTTAACCCTAGCAACTTTAATATCTTCTCGATCTTGAAGGGTTTGAAAATTTTGATTCTCAATAACCAAGAAGCCATTCCATGTAAAAGTTTTACTAAAGGTAGAACAAAATGTCTATTTTCCTCTATAAGAATTTCATACCCAAATCCTTCATAATTTAGGAGAAATTGCAGCATTATTCATATAATATTGAAAAAATCAATGAGAAGGTTGAGTGTTTTTTCTCTCTAGAATACAGAATTTGTTTAGCTTTTGTTATATAACTATTTGATCTATCTGCTTTTATGTTTTGGGAAATTTTTCTCATATTCATTTTAAGAATTTTGAGAAATCTAGAGAATTGGTGTATGCTTTGGGGACCCAATTGATAAAACAATCAATTTGGTGACTCAATTTAAAATTGGTGTAAGGCTGAGCCCTAATATGATGTTAACCCTTAATTATTATTTCCATAAAATTTTGTTCATGTCATATTATAATTATACATTAGTTTCCAGCTACATTGCATAAGCATTTCTCGGCATCTCAAGGCTAATGGGCCTTAAAGCTAATAAAGTTGGAGAAGTGGGCTTGTTTTAAAGACAAAATCCAATTAAGAAATTGAAATATGAAAAGGCCCATGAATCCGAAGACCCAATATGACATCCCTCCCTTGACACTAGCAAGTGGTGGCAAAAATGGAGACGGTGGTCTTGAATCTTCCAGCAAAGCAATCCGAAGACCCAATTTCCAAACATTGCTTTAATGGAGGACGAGAGGAGCACGGTGAAGCTTGCCTGTGCTATTTGTTGTTGCTACACTGCGATACTGGTGTTGCTCCAAGTGTTGGACCGAAAAGAAGGCTGTTGCTGGACATGCAGGGCGCATCGGATGCCGGTGGATGCTGCTTTAGGAGAGGAGGAAAGGACAGAAGAGTTCCCTCTGCTGCTGCTGCTGCTAGCTTGTGTTTGCTCCCGGTTGCTGGAGCTATTGATGGCATTGTGATTATAAGGGAGCTGCGGAGAGAGGGGAAGAGAGACTGAAGGTCAGTGACTGGAAGGGAAAAAGGACTTGTATATATGAGAAGTTGCAACTCCTAGGGGTTGAGATTGAAGAATGAAGTGTCTGTCTGATGGGGAAGAGACTGAGACTGGGGGAGAGTTGAGACACATTATAATTTCTAATTTTCTTATAAGTTGATAAATTATATTTTTCATTAAAATAAATTTTTAATTTTTCAATTTTATATTTTAACTCCTGTAAAATTAAATTAAAAATCAACATGTTAAAAATTGAGGTATAATAATTCTCATGCATTGTGAGAACGAGAATGCATGCTTGCAAACTTACAACCATGAAGTCGTTCCTATGATCATATTGGCCTCTCACAAGGATTCCAACAAGTGTCTTTAGCGAAAAAAGTTGGTAATTCTGCTCTCAACTTCTGCATCTCCTCCATCTTAGTGTATTTGATCAAGTAAATTCTACTGCTAGAATTTGGCAGGCAAGGTCGCGTATAAGCAGGATTCTCTTAACCCCAAAGTCAACTAGAATTTTATATTGGGATATCAGGATATGTATCTCCTCATTCCGTACTCTATTACATCCTCAAGATAAGGAAAAATCAAGGTCAATAATAATATATAATTTGATAGTTAGATTGGTTGTATAATTATAGAAGCATAATATTTGTTCAACGAGTGCGGCTAACTGAACAGTGAATAAGATTTGGTGAGAACGGACCTAGTTGCTTCTCTGAAGGTTCATTATTCCAAAGTGGCATTGCCAGAAAGTTGAATCTCTTCGATGGTTATAAGGTCTTATTGCTTTCTATGTGCTAAGAGTGGTTTCTGGTGTAGGAAGTGCTGAGAAAGTAGAAAGAAAGCAAGGTTGAAGAATCAATTCATTGCACTGTCAATTAACCTCTCTTTTAATGTCAGCAATTGAGCCTTAGGCTCATCATTAGCCTGTCACAGTAAATAGTAGGTTCAGCAATTTCCCCAACCTTTTTCCTTGCAACTTGGTAAAAATTGCCTGTGAACCACTTGTTAGGTTCCATACGAATTTGTCATGGCCTGCCACCAACCAGCTACTTTGTTCCATCCAGCTCAGAGTTTTAGTTTTCAAATCCCTTACTGCTCTTATGGTTATCAAAACATGTTAAACAAAAGCAACTTGCCTGGAAACTCTACCGCGTCTTTAGTTGACCTTGCTTGATATCAGAGTCAACGGTAGCACCGTGTGTCGATATCATGCGAATTTGAGCAGAAGTGTTTGATTTACCACTAAAAACAAGTTGAGAGAAGAGAGAAAATCTGAGGTTCATGGGGAGGCTACCTGCCCAAACTGAAGCTGCAATTCAGCATTTCAGCCATCCACACCCATTACAGCTCTCCAATTACCAGCCCCAACAGACGCTTTGCCTAGCTTCATGTTCATGTTGCAAGCTCAAGATCTCGGGATCGATCTACGCTTGCACACAGTGCAACTACTTTCTTCATGTTTCTTGTTCCCAGATGCCTCAACAGATCACTCATCCATATCACCAAAACCATGTTCTGTCTCTCCTCTCAACCCCCATGTATCCTGGAGACTTATTCAACTGTGATGCGTGTGGGAAGCAAGGAAATGGTTTCTCTTACCATTGTGGAACTTGCAACATTTATATCCATACCACATGTGCGGCCATGCCCTTGGTGCTCACCCACCAGTCTCATCATCACCAGTTGAATCTTATACCCTTTGTTCCTTACCCTAACATGAGCTTTTCTTGTGACATATGCCACAACTTTGGTTCCAAGCAATGGCTCTATAGGTGCAACCTCTGTGGATTTGATGCTCACTTGGATTGTGCCGTATCACAGCCAAATCCAGCTCAAGCTCAAGCCCAATACTACCAATCAGCAGCACCAGTATCAGGTATTCCTCGGTATCAGGCCGTTGGAACTCCACTGGCAACAGTTCCTGTCATGGAAAACCTTGCCCCCAACAATTATGTGCCAAAAGCTGCTACCTCAAATGTTTTTGGATCAAATATGCCTATGTCTAATGGGAGACCAAGGGGGCAGGCGAATTCTTCATTGAACCAGCTAGGCTCTATATTGTTGCCAGCACTACTTGGTATTGGCATCGGTGGTCTTGGTGGTGGCAGAAATAATAGTGGCGGAGGTATTAATCTTGGAGGCACCTTTGGTGGGGGTGGTGTGGATTTGTCATCATCATTAAGCGGAGTTGACATTGGAGGATTTGGAGGTGGAATGGACCTTGGAGGTGGTTCCAGTTTTTAGCTATCTATTCAGATTTTTCATGTGTATTGACAACGTCTGTTTCTCTATGCTTTAATAATCTGAGGTTCCAGGATATTTTTTTTCTTGCAAGAGAAAAACAGAATCCTTGGGAAGTAAAAAAAAACAACGCACCCTTAAATTCTAATTGTTGTATTATGATGATCATCATCAGTACTTGGGAATAAGATTTGCACTAAAGGAAGCTACTAGCCATCAAGATCAACTCACTGTCCCCATGAATAATCTGTTGTAGTTGATGCTGATTTCTGAGAAGAAAATTGTGATTTAAGACATTTCATTGTGTTCTAAAGTTTATATATATATATATATAGACAAATTATATACTCGACAAAAAAACATTACATATCAAAATTATTTAATTTCTATGCATTCGAATTTAATCAATCAAATTATTTCTTTCTCCATATAGATTACTTAAAAATACAATGCCATGGGCACATGATTGATTTTTCTCGAAGACCATGGACAAAAATAGAAGACAATTAAGAGTATATGGACTAAAATGGAGATTTAAACAAAGCAGAAACCACCAAAAATATCATTAGCTCTCAAAAGAATATAACAGGACCCAAGTTTCTTGACCTAGTAGCTTTGGTGCCACAACTCCAATCCTAAATCCTCAGGGACATCAAAGTCAGTGCTCAAAACGACAGCACTTTATACCCAGCTGGCCTGGAACATGCAAGAAACCAAGCACCTGTCAATCAATCCCTCAAACAACTACCACCTCTTGCTTTGACTTTTATTTATTGCTATAAAATGATTTTATCGATAAATCTTTGATCTTGAAGAAGACCTGAGTTGTTCATCTGCCCCATACAGGTGCTTATCCTTTTCTTTTCTTTTCTTTTTCAATTTCTTGATTATTATTGTTGCTATTGTTTGATTGTGTTTTTGCTTACAATCTTGGTCTTATTTACATTCTTGGGCCTCAAAAGATGAATGGTTTTTTTTTTTTTTGCTTGAAAAAAAGATTAAAAATATAGAGGGGAGAACTTTCAGTTTCTGGGTTTTGTTTTTTAGTGACTAAATCAATGATTGAGCTGGTTTTGGATTTATTTTTTTTTCATTTTGGTCGGAGTTCGATTTGGTTTGGATTTTAATTATTTTTTTTCTTAAGCTGATTTTGATTTTCTTTTTTGGGTATGCAGGGAGGGTTTAGTTTAGTAAAGTTTGGATTTTTTTCCCCCTCTTATTTACTTATTCAGAGAGTGATAATTGTGTCAATTAATTTTTGTTTTGAGGGAGTTTAAGATAATGGGAAATTTCAGTTTCTGGTTGAGTTAAAGAATGTGTTTTTATTGTTCTTTGCAGGGTAGGGTATATTGAGATTTTGGTTTTTGTTGTAGAAAGATTTTTGAATCAGATTGGTGTAAGTTTTTTGCTAGAAATAATGGATCTTGATTTGAACCAAGAGCCTTTATACCCTTCCAATGACTCGCTGTTGGGACTAGCATCCATACGAGATGAATTAGAAAACACCCATGGTCATATAGAAGAACGCCTCAGGCAGCTTGAAGCAGTTACTTTCAGGGCTAGACAACGACAGAGATGGAGACAAAGTCACTTTACCCCTCAAACAGTGAATGTTTCTGTGGAACCAGCTACTGTTAATGTTCGCAGTGATGGTGAGCTGCTTATTGGGGAGGCTAGTGTTGCTACTGAAGAAAGGAGAGATGAGATGAATAAATTTGGCAAAAGAAAGAGTACCTATTTGATAGCTAAAGCGTTAGGCAGGAATGGGAATGGTAAGAAGGCCAGAACTGACAGGAGGAGTGTATTTGATTGTAACGTATGCCTTGATATGGCACAAGATCCTATATTAACTTGTTGTGGACACCTGTTTTGCTGGCCGTGCTTCTATCAGCTGTCTTATGTTTACTCGAATGTGAAAGAATGCCCTGTTTGTGTGGAAGAGGTTACAGATACAAGTATTATTCCAATTTATGGCAATGGAAACAGTGATGATAACAAGAAGCTCAAGTTAAAGGAGTCTGGCTTGAGGGTTCCTCCTAGGCCCTCTGCACAAAGAGTTGAGAGTGTGAGACAACAACTCATTAATCACGGTGCATTTTCTTCTTCCATTGAGGAAAGAATGCGGTATATTGGCAATGTGCTCATTGCAATGGGGGAGATACCTCCGTCAGAGGGTCTTGATGGTGTTCCTCTTGAATCTGACAGAATCAGTTTCTTGGCAAATCGAACCAGTACTTCTCAGGCACTGCCTTCCATAGGAGCAGACAGGAGCCAGCACCACCGTTCTGTTCAAGTTTCTAGGTTACTGTTTCAAGGAGCTGCTTCACTATCCTCCTTTTCATCTGCAGTGAACTCTGCAATGGAATCTGCTATGGAATCTACTGAAAGATTATTTGAGGACCTTGGGGCAATTTTGCACAGCCATCGTGGGAGAAGAAACCATCAACAATCTTCACGTCCTGCTGATAGAGATTCATTTTCAAGCATTGCTGCTGTTATTCAACCTGACGGCCAGAACCCGGATACTGTTGCCGATGCTGATTCTACATTGCCACAGTCTGCTTCTTCTTCCAGGCCTGACGATGTTGTCACTGTTTCTCAATTGGAAAGCCATAGAATGGGTACTGCTATAGAAAGCAATTTTAGTGTGCCCATTTCTTCATCTTCTAGAAGAAGAAATCTAGTTTTTAGGCTTTCAGAAGTGGACAATAGTGTAGAAACAAATTCTTCATCATCCAGGAGAAGGGTTGAAGTTCCTAGAGCTGCAGGAGCAGACAATGCACATAACCGTGAACGTAGAAGGAGAAGCTTGAACTGATGTAGCCATAGAAATAAGGGTTAAATTGATTGCATGTTCCTTGTCTGAGTACTGTGATTTAGTTGTGTTGTTGGAAACTGATACATGTTTGTGTTTATGAAGACCGTGTTTGCCAATCTAGGCATTGAGTGCCAATTGCAATTTAAGCAAAATATTGGGATCACACTACAGGTGTTTATACTTTTGCTGTTGTAGATTTATTATCTGGCTGTTTCATTGGGAATCTATGTGGTTTCTTACTAAAGACACGTTTACCGAAGCACGCAGCATCATCCTTGATTGCATAGTAGGTGTTCTATAAGACAGAAAGCAGCTATTTAACCGGTACGCGCATGAACTCTTGGTGAAAGATTCGTTTGGTTCTTTCTGCCTTTAGTTATATACAATATACATGTTCAATAATTTTATTTAGTTTTTTATTTCCTTTTTGAATTTTTTGCTTCCCTGTTCTTTTGTATTTGTGATATCCAAATTCAGTGCGACAAGAGACTTCACACCTAAACTTTTTGTTGCTCTGTTAGCCTTGTACAGGCTTCTCTTTTTCTACACATTACCATACCATGTTGTTGTGAAATTTTTTAGACACGTAACAGTATCCAAACAACTAGTTGATGCTTTGTCGAAAGATGACATTGGCTATCACATGGGTTTCATTAAGATATCTTGCATGCCTGGTTAATATCAAACTGCTAGCAGATTTGGATTGAGGACTTTGCCATCCTTGTTTCATATCAATTACATCAGTTTCATGTGCATGACAATACTTCTTACCTTTCTTGCTCCATAGTTTTTCATGTCCCTTATTTTTTAGACTAGGGATAGAACAGTAATCTAGTTACTTCTGTTAGAAAATACATTACATGTCAAATATAAATATAGTAGTAGAAAACCATCTCATGGATCATCAATACATGGAGTTCTTCCAGAGGGACTTAGGTTTAGTTGAGGTTTTAGTTTTGGGGGGTTTAAGTGTGCAAAGTTTGATATTTTAGGTGTGGAAATGAATTGATTATAGAAATGGTTATAGTTTCAGAGTTGAAAGAAACATTATAGGCCTTGGACTATTGAAGGGAAGGTCTCATGCAAGGTTACATGGTAGAGAGCCTTAAATTTTTTGGCCTAGTTACAATTGCTTGGCTATTTCTGAACCCTTTTACACGACATAGTACACACTACACATCAATTACTTGCACAGCTGAACTTTCACCTATTGACCGCATATTTACCAACTCGTTACTCTAAGCTAGAGCTACAACTAGTTGGTCTATCCAGAAAAATCGCTACCGAAACTAACAATGGTATTTTAGATTCCACCAAGTGGTAGCTCCTGACCTAATTTGCTGGTGGCAGGGAAATATTAGTCTTCCAAGGGAGAATCAGAATTCTTATGTTTATTAATGCAACAATAGTTTTGTGATGATTTATCTTTGATCCCTCACTTGTGCTGTTAGTATTACTGCGTTTTAAACTTTGCAGTTTGAACTCATGGTATCGTGGCAAGAGAATGGTTAAATGATGTTTTATCATTAACTATTTGTTCATGCGTGTTAAAACGTTGCGTCTGTTGGCTGGTAACCTACGTATATTCGTATATTTTTTGTTTTGATTTTGTATGTCAAAAAAAATGAATTATAGGTTTCTTCGAATGTTTAAAAATGATAAGGTGTAGTGTCAGGACATGTTCCAAATATGCAAAAGAACACGAGCAAAAACTGTAGGCAGACAATATGGCAGAGTCGAGCAATTTTAAGAACACAGAAAAACAGACTTGAAACCAACCGTTGTCAGACCATAAACCAGTTAAATAATTATCAATAGAGGCTTGTTTAAACTCTCCTGCCACAAGCTAAATATGATCGTGTTGTCCCATCTGCAAACTCCATTTATGAAAAGTCCAAATTTCACAGAGAAAAGCTTTCTGAAAATTAGAAAAGATTTGTCAGACTATCAGACAAATTAAACGTATGAAAGCTCAATTTAGTTTTGACATTTGTAATTGATTTTCTAACAACTCTCTGTTCTCCTGAAAGTATAAACACGACACAAGAAAAGAATCTGTTCGCAAGTTCATCACATATCTCAAATAGCATTCAAGGTTGAAGTGTTGGTTTTCACGATGTCTATTATCTTTATGTCTCAAAATGCTTTCTCTGCATACAGACAGGAGGGTTATCGGATTAGTGGAAAATCCTGCTCATTGGACTCTGGTTGATGCTCAAGGTGTTGGCAAATTCTATTACCCAAACAAGTGACTAAAAAATGCAGAATCCCTATATCCTTTCTTAGAACTGGTATAATATGCCTTCAGTCTTGAAAGTGTTGCATTCATATGGAATCTCATTCTGGTTTCACTTGGCTAACGACTTAAACTTCTGCAGGGGCAAGTTATTGTGAACCAGTTTGAAGCAATGACTGTCCATGGACCATTAGCTGGGGAGGTAAGAATGCCTCAGATGAAGTGTTTATCTTAATTTGTGCATGCAACTTTGAGGGTAGGATTGGCCCTATTTCCTTAGAATGTGAACTAGAAGATTATCCATATTTGCTTGGGTCTTGCAGGGAAAAGGGCTCTCGTTTGAACTGTGAATCCCACTAATAGTCAATCCATTGATAATCTCTTAAAAAGAGAGCATGAATGATCACATATTGAGTCGAGCATCTCAGTACGTGATCTAGCAAAGTGGTAGAGGGAAATCCCTACAGGCTAGTGATTCATTACTGGTGAAAGAGTGGGATCTCACACTAAGCTTCTCAAAAACTAAAGTTATCCTAAACGCATGCCACTTCTCTGGTGGACTCTATTGGAGAGGTATTATTAGGTGTTTAAAAAGGATTTGTATTGACAATTAAGTAAAGGTTGGTCTCTCCTCCTCAATGTTTCGACAAAGAGCATTAATGTCTTGCCGGATTTTCTTTTCGAAGGCATTGAGAATTTATTGTTTGATTGGTTTTACCATCTGCTATCATGAGTTTCCTGCGAGAGTGTTTGAACAGGATGAGCAATGGAGTGTGTGTGTGTGTGCTGGCATTCGAACTGGTCCACTAAGCCCAACACAGCTGTCCTGCTATGATGCCTTGTTCTAATAACAATATGCTAGGGTTTGGTTTTGGCCCTTCTTTGTTTCTAGTGCAATTATGATTTTGACTCATGTCTACGATTGCTTATATCTAATTTGATGGGTGGTTTCTTAAAATACCACGTTTCTAAATTAAAAAATAATAATAATAATTAAAACTAACACAGTTTCAAAATGTTTTAGAGAATATCACAGGCTAATGAGTTATGTTACTATGAACAACTCAATGAAATGAATAGCACAACCAAGAAATATTTTTGAAAAATTATATATAGATTGTGAATACGTACATAATCAAATAGACTAGCTAAAATACATGAGCAAGCCTGAAGATATTAAACATATAGTCTCAAAAAAATAGCCATATTTTAGATTTTGAATTGGGTTAAAATTTTACTAGATAATTTTATAGGTTTAATTATATATGGTGTTGGCTCGCTATATCTAGCCGGGATTCAAAAAACTTGTATATTATTTTTTATTTTAATTATTTTTAGAGTCAATTTCAGATTTTAATTCAAAAGTGCGTAATTCGTCTTTTCTTTCTTGAACTCTTCCCATGGCAATTACTATCTTGGTGGCTAGATATTGCTTATGATCTTCATATCATTAACTATTCCACACAATTGTTTTCTTCTGGCCTTGATTTTATGCTGCATTTAATGCAAAATAAAATTATTTCTAGTTTTCATCATTGCACATATTTAATCGCTACTGCTATCATCCATAACCGGGTAACAAACTTTTTTTTAATTATCAAATCACTATCTCTCTCGATCTTTCACTCGTCCGGGGCCCAACTTGCCATTTTTATGTTCATCCTCCCCCGTTAAAATCTCTAGTGAGGTGCCATGTCTAATTTCTTTTCTCCACTACAACTCTCTTCTTTTACTTATTGCACAAACAATACCATGGAGTTTAAGTTTAAAGTTCTAGAGACAATAGGGCCACCATTGATGTGCTTCTCCCTGTTCTTCTTTAGTGTCGGTTATTCTTATGAACAAACATTGTAAGGTTTGTATGATACTTTTTCTTACCTTCGTTTTTTCTAAATTTTTTGTTTGGATTGTTTACAAAAAGACAAAATTTAAGGTTGCTTTGCCAGGAACAATGGGTTAATTTGAATAGTGCAGTCCATTAAGATTGTTACTTTTCTGAAAATAGTGATATTTTTCAAGTATGTTCTTGGAAAAGTGCTGGTTTGAAAGGGAAAAAAAAAATCAAAATATTAGTCCCTTGTTATTCAAATTACAAGTCAAATCGGACAATTTTGTTAAATTACACTGCAACTCTTGTCTGCCTTAAATCAGACTCTGATTCATCGTGAAAGATCCATGATTATCATTTCATGAGATCCTACAGCTTGTGTGATTAATTTAAGATGTTCAATTCTTGCAGTGCGTTTGTCTATGATGAACTATGTAAACCATGATGTGATACATATCATATTCAGCTGCTTGATTATGGTTTGATAATCAAGTACTCATCATTTCATGAAACCCTAGGCTAGGCTAGGCTGCATAGCATGTATGGTTTTGCCTCCAATAGTAGCGCTTTCTAACCGCAAATGTTAATTAATAAATATTTGCAAAAGCACTTTCTAACCGAAAAGAAGAAAGTCCTTGATAATTAATCAAAGGATGGGCTTGCTTACATGTGTAAAATACAATGAGTTGTCTGGTCAAGGATGCCTCTCACTTTTCTTTCATCTTCTACATAAGCAAAAAGAAGGAACAGAACATGAACCCTACAAGCCCTGCCAGTAGGGGAACCACCTTATAATCACAAGAGTTCGAGGTTGCAGTTCCCTCATGAACCTTGTCTGCGTGTCTAGCAACTTGCATGTGTGGTACCCAGTAAGAGGCATCTGATGACGAGGATGATGATGATGATGATGATATGATAGCAATAGCGATAGGGGTAGGGATGACAACGATTAAAAAAGGGAAAAAAAAAAAGGATTTATCTCCTAAATTCATAATGATCATTGCACCAGTAAATGGCTATGATTGAACAACACTATAGAAACGTCTGTTTCTTTCAATACATCTCTCCCTGCATGAATAACCATTAAGCTATCACATCGTTACCTCCGTTCCATTTTACAGTGTAGAGAAATTTACTTGTATTGATCTTCAGTGTGAACTCATTAGTTTTTTTGTCCCTACTTGTGTCCAAGTCCCATGTCCCTGCCTCCTTTTTACATGGGACAGACAGTTCTTCTATTCTTGTTCAGGTCAGTTTACTCTTGTCTAATTTCATCCCCATGCCAGATACAGGTTATGAATCTTAATTTCTTAGATAATTTGGTTATTTAAAGATAAAAGAGACGAGAATCATGCAGATGAAAGAACATGTTTTTCTTGTATTTTCTGTTTTAAAGAATAAAAATTATAAAAACATGATTATCTTTAATTATTTATATCTCTTCGACCAAAAACGTGTTTCATATAGAAAACTGTTTTGAAAGCCATTTGATAGCTAAAACTCAGGACCCATAAAATGAAGTGTTCGGCAAAGCCTTCCCGGCCGGTGATTGGAGCAACCTCTATAATTTATTTTGACGAAATGGCTACAATCTTTAGCCATTTATCTGAACAAGGTTGCAGGTACCAAGAAGAACCAGGGAAGGAGGCGGTCCTAGGGCGAAAGGTCACCATGTTCGATGGTTGAAAAGGGAACGTGAATCATGCTAGAGAGCATGCAGCAATTAAGTGGCGACATGTTTTAAGCTTAGCTAGGTGTTCCCTCACTCTATTAATCTATACGAGTTTTCAGTGATTCCATTAATCCGACTAAAATTCAGGTCTCATTACAAGAAAACAAAATAGTATTATTTTAATAAAGAAAATAACATTACCTTAGATTGACATCTCAATAACAATCATGAAGTGCCAAGAATAGGCAGTAGCCCCAGCCCAATAAAAATCAACAGCTCTAAAAGCCACATGGATTTTAACGAATGTATCATAGCAATTGTTGAAAAAGTGGAGCTAGCGAGATTGAAGAATTCAATGCCATAATGTTCAATGTTTTTGTGCCCCTTTATGAGCTTTGACAAAGCAAGGGAGATGGGCTTCATTTTCTCTCAAGTCATACCTCATTGATTCTTCAAATTCAAGGGAGTGGAGATTATCGTTGAGAAATTAATGATTGGTTGGATTCGGAGGTGCACATGTTCAGACCATTTTTTTTTCTTTATCGTTTTTCCTGCCCATGACACTTGGTACGAACTTTAGTGGAAGAGGTCACATGTTGAAGCTTTTATCTTCTCGATTCTTCAAAGCTTTAATGAGTGGAAAATATAGTTGAGAAATCAATGATTGGTACTTGTTGTTTATCATAAAGTTTATTATGTGACCGTGATGCAAGATTTCAATGTACATAATGAACAATCATGTTATGGTAGTACGGTATATTTTTATTATTTTTAAAAGTGTCTTTGCATGTATATTTTGAGTTTGAGGTAGTTTTTATGGTTGGGATTTGAAAAAAAATAAATTTAAAAAAATATAATTAGATATATATTTGATAAAAATTATAGTTGAGATTTATATATAACAAAAAAACATATATAAAATGTTTTGTAATTATGTAGTTATGGACGTGATTGTGTTTGTTTTTCAAAATGTTTTTTACTTTGAAATATATCAAGATAATTTTTTTATTTTTTAAAATTTATTTTTGATATCAGCGCATTAAAATAATATGAAAACACAAAAAAAAAATATTATTTTAAATTTTAAAAATATTTTTTTAAAATACTTTTAAAACCTAAAAATAAACAGAATTTTACGAAACTCGATCACAAAAACATGTAATAACTGTTTTTTTTTTAATTATATTTTAAACTCAATTTTTTAATGAGCCACGTAATAAAAAATACAATTTGATATGTTATTAAATACCTAACTGTATTTTTTTACACTGCACGCAGAAAAACTGCAGATAAACAAAGGCAGCCCAGGTGATAATCTTAAATTACTCTGGTTTGTTTCCCAAGTGTGCTTGATTGCTGTTTTAAAAATAAATTTATTCAATAAAGGAAGTTCCTAAGCCATTCATACATGTCTCTTTTGCTATAAAATATCAGCCAAATATAATTTTGTTTGCTGTGTACTATCCATCCATCATTCACCCGGTTTTTTACTCAATCCAACAAAAACACTAGCTCGATTATAATTGCTCTGTAATTGTTGTCAAATGAATTTCTTTCTTTCATCAAATATTATATCTGAATTTAGTATAAATTAAATTAAACACAGTGAGCTTAGGTTCTGTGCATTTTTTATATTTTATTTTTTCAGGAATTAGCTCTGCAACCAACAAAGCTAAAAGGAGGCCAGGAGAAATAATGAATGTGAGAGAAGGGAAAGCAATCATGCAGCGATAAGGATTTGACTATGAGCCCCATATGCACGCGTTGTAACAGCTGATGCTGACATTGTAAGAAGGCCTAACTATTTCATAGACTTTTTTTTTTTTTCTTCATTTTTTTATAGCCCTTTCTACCATCTGCGTCAGCCCCAAATGTAGACAGGAAGGTCCCCAGTCCCCACTGCTAGTATTCAAACTGATTACCCAACATTTCTCTCGTCTCTTCATCTACCTATCACACAGCATGAAAGCATACATGCTGCGTACAATAATATGCTGTTTCTAGATGAGCAAAAGAGATTAAAAAGGGTCCAAGGAAATGGTTATTGAGACTATGTGGAGCATAGTTGTAATACTTGGTCTGCCTTGATAGAGTGACTCGAGCCGGATCAAATCTAGTGGGGTAAATGATAGAACCAGATTTATAAACAGAAAGTATCATTCTGGCTTTTTTAGCTGAAAAAAATAAAATAAT